CCCCAAAACCCCAAAACCCCAAAACCCCAAAACCCCTTGGTATGGAAAGTTAATTGATATTGTTGGTGAGTGAATTTAAGTATCCTGATGACTACCCTCATACCTACTCCTATCGACTGGACACCGGTCACTCTTTTGATACCATTGACTGATACACTCTTTGTGATACAAATGATGGCTTACTCAAGGAAACTCGTAGATCTCTGAATCTGGTTGGTATTCTTCAAGGCAGATCCAGCATTCTTTATGAGATACCTCTCCAAATTTTTCCTGATAGTCTTTAAACTTGTACGTTGGAAGCCTTCTAAATTTTCTAGTCCGCCTTCTCTGTTGCCTCTTGTTGTAAATGTACTGAATTCAAAGCACGATTACATAAAAACATGGAATTCATAGGAAGAAGGCGAGCCTTGTGACAAAGAAGTAGAACAGAGAATTATAAATCAAAACCAGATAATACCCTACACCTTGGTGGCAAGATCTTTCTCGCTTTGCCCAATAAAATTTCAAGATAAACAATGCAATTGAAGTTACGACCTATTTGGGTTATCTAGAGCTTACCTCTGTGAAGAAAAGAGCGATTGGGGTGTAGGCTCCAGACATATTAAACTGCCATAGGAAATTCATTATATGGCACACTGAGTTTAATCGTACAAAAAGAATGAACATTCCTCATGTAGTCAGAATATTTTGGACTCGCACATCACAGTTGCTCTTCAGTTCGAGGTTGGAAACAGAGTAAATGCTAAGGAATAGGAAGACAATGTTTAGCAAAGCTTCAGAAGCTCAGCCAAGGATTGCCCAAATATGGTAATACTCCGGTCGTCCAAGGGTTTCGTAAAAGGGCTCTCTTTGAACAGAGGGCTCTTGTTCGAGTTCCTCTTCCTCTTCTTCGCTTTCATACTCGTCTGAGGATTCTTCATCAATATCTTCTTCCCTATTGGGGTTAATGTCTGACTCTATTGGTAAAATCTAGGGATAATAAGGGTTAATAGTTACTATTCTGTCTCTATCTTGGTTTAACAGAGGATCTCTGATATTTTCCATTAGGTTTTGAGGCTGAATACCCTTTAATTATATTATTTTGATCTAAAGGTAGGGGTTTTGGGGTTTTGGGGTTTTGGGGTTTTGGGG